TGTTTCCTCGAATTTTTCATTTTGTTTAGGTATAATTTAAGATGAGTTTTATACTTTTTTATATTACCAGATGGTAGTCTATAAATACTATTTATAATTATGTTTTTTTCAGTTTTATTTACTTATTTAATGCATAATGATTCACAATCTGTTTCATTAACACAGATGTCGTTGCGTAAAATATAATTAAGTTAGTTGTGGATAAAAATACTAACGCCCTAACCTGCAGTAAATTCACGTGGTTAGTGAATTGATGTGTAATTACCAAGTTAAAGTTCATAATTTGTTTCACCACTTTTACACCAAGTTTCCGTCACACATATAATTTTAAAATCGTGTTTAACTTCATTTAGTAATATTTCTAAATTTTCTCGTATATTAGCGTGGTCTGTTCTGAAGTCTATACCCCCCTCCACCTACTCAAATATTTCCTAAAGGTGGCCACTATGTCTATATGAGAAATTTAGTATTTCATTATATCCAAAACCTGAGGAATTGCTAAATAAAAGTATCGAAATTATATCAAACTGCTGCTACGAAAATAAATCCTTATAAAAAAATTAAAAAGCTCGCTACAAATCTAACTAACAACTAACAATTACTATATTACTCTACTTCATATATCTCTAGCTTAACTAATAAATTACTCACATATATAGCAATTACATTAAATTTCATAATATTATTTATATTTTTATATCAATTTTTAATTTTACATTTTTTTAATATATAAATTATGCGTATTATCATATAAACGAATATTTTTAACAATCATCGAAACACCTAACTATTTCACAACTATTAGCTAACTATAAAAAACCATTAGCTAATTATAAACAACTATTAGCTAACTATAAACAACTATTAGCTAACTATAAACAACTATTGGCTAACTATAAACAACTATTAGCTAACTATAAACAAATATTACCTAACTATAAACAACTATTAGCTAACTATAAACAAATTAATAATTACACTAACCTAGCTACTAAACAATTTTTGTCCTGTAACAATCTAAAATACAAATATCAACCGTAACGTCTACAAAACATATCGTAAATTTAAATTTTACTACTTGCCTGAAGATTGTTATAACACATAAAACTCAGAGTTGCAATTTTAAACTATATTGTAAACGTTAGCATTTAGCTAATTCCTGGTACTGCAGGTAACAGTAACATATATACTATGTAGGTGTAGTTTATCTATTGAGTACCCTTTTAATTGTACAATATTAAACATGATTATATAAAGATATTTTAAAAAACAAATATAAAATAGATATAAGTACAGGGGCACCGCCAGCATTTCTTGGTCTTTGAGATAGCTAACTTCCAACATAGAGCAAGTTCTAAACATTTACTAGTTTGTACTTATTTCAAATAACAATGCTTTGAAAAAAATGGCGATAATTGGAGCTTGGGAACAAAAAAGCCCCAAACTTTTGTCCCCCCTGCCCCAAACTTGAGAGCAGCAAGTTGATAAAATATGTTTTGTACTATTTTCAACTAGACATATTCATCGATAAAATTTCAGTTTCGTAGTAAAATATATTAGCAGTCGAAACATATAAATGTTTGGAGTTTGCTCCATGTCTGGAAGTTAGCTTCTCAAAGACCAAAAAATGCTGGCGGCGCCCATGTATAAGTAGAAAACAAATATAAAATAAATATAAGTAGAAAATAAATATAATATAAATGTAAGTAAAAAATAAAACTACGTGATTTTCACAATCTTAAGTTTCATGCTGTTGCAATCATCAGGTGAAATACAAATATAGTTATATACAATTGAAACTATACAGAAAAAACCTTTACGGAAAAAAATAATGTTTCAACCGCGTGTATCTAATCATCAGGTTTATGGTTGTTTGATAGAAGTTTGTTTTTGTGGCGACATTTGTATATGTATATATATATATATATATATATATATATATATATATATATATATATATATATATATATATATATATATATATATATATATATATATATATATATATATATATATATACAGTGACGGCGTCAGCATTTTTCGGTCTTTGAGATAGCTAACTTCTAGACATGGAGCAAACTCCAAACATTTATAAGTTTATATTTATGTAAAATAAGGATGCTTTGCAAAAAATTACGATGGTTGGAGCTTGAGAACAAAAAAAACCCCAAAATTTGGCTGAAACTGCCCCAAATGTGAGAGCAACAAGTTGATGAAATAGTTTTTGTACTATTTTCTACTAGACTTATATTTATTGATAAATTTTAAGTTTCATTGTATCATCTCTCAGCGTTCAAAAATTATAACCATATAAAATTTGCAATCCCCTCAAATTGAGGGGGGCTTAAACTTTATATGGTCATAATTTTTGTAGTTTATTGAGTATCAGCTCAATTGCAAGATATATTTTGGAACAACAAAGTTAATCTTGGACAATCTTGTTAAGCATAAATGGCCGATTTCACTAAATCATGACACTAGTAATTTTAGCGACAGTCCTAGTTTGATCTAAAAATGAAAAGTATGATTTAATACTATTATTATTATTTTTTTTTTTGACGCACCAGTAGCAGGTTCTATAACTTATTTGTTTGAGTTTCTAGCGTTAATACGCTTCATTAGCGTTAGTTATAACAGCTAATGAAGCGTAGGATGCAACAGCCGATGACTTAACACCATTAACTAAAAAAGTTTTAAAACGTAATTGTTAACGAATATTATATTTCTTTGTCTGTCTTTTAATGTTTCCGTCATTAAGTTTTATTTGTATTTCATTTCTTATAGTTTGTATGCCTGTCCGTTTTTTTCTATTAATAGAGAGCAACAAAGATAATTTCGTAGCTGTTTTGTAACCAAATCATAAAAAGAGATTTCATGTTAAAACTAAAAAGAATTTGTAACGATTCAAAATTCTTGCTAAGCAATAGTTGTCATAAAATATTCCCTTTCAACATTATTTTGCAGAAGTTTATGAAAAGGTAACTTCATGTATAAACAACTAATCCGTCTTTTATATTTTACTAAGAGCAGATGTTATAAAATGCCTATTCAAGTATAGGCTCAAAGCCGTTTTTAAAGTGTTTATATGGTATAACACGTTGTTGCAAAACACCATTTAAATAAAGCTCTTAATGGTTAATTTTATAACTGAAGTCGTAAAAAGGAAGTTTATTTGTTGAATAAACTGCGTAAGGAAATAAAGATATGAAGTGATAAAAATTGACTCAGTAGTTCTCTGTTCACCAACACAAAATTATTAAAATGCCAATTTTGGCAAAAAAAGCTTATTTTTGCATCGAAAGATTGAGAAACTCTCAAGTACTCTCTAAGAACATGATACAAATGTGAATTTTCTGGGATGACTTAGGAAAGAACAATTTTCGTTGCTTACACAACAAAGAAACGCATTTGCAAAACTGATGGAGCTTTATTATCAGAAAACAAACATGTTTCCACAAATATATCTTGCATAGAAGCATTAACAAATGGTCACTTGTACGTGATTGAAAATAATGTTGAATTTTTTTTGTATAGAATCTCAGGTAAGAATTTTAAAAGATAATAATTTGAATTTTATCAAAGTTTAAATTCGAAAAATACTTCTCGGAATCAAGTAATCAGCTCCTGGTGCGTTTGGAAAAAAAATTTATACTTTCCTTTTTCTAAAGAGGTCAAAACTTTACACATTCATAAATTTTGAACATAAAAATATTATTAGATGAAATTTAAAATCTGTTCATTAACATACGTTTAGTTAAAAATAGTATAAAATTAATAATTTATTGTCCTAATATTTAGGCTTAGGGGAAAAAGTATTGGGTTTTTATTTGCTCTCAGAGAACACTCGTTGCAGTTTTTTTATAGCAATGTAAGCATAAACACTTCATTCAAGTTTTAAAACCATTAGTCAAATCTTTATTACCTGACTCTAAAATTAAATCATTGACCATATACTTTGCCTTATTGTTGCTAAAAATCTCTTGCCTGTTTTTGCATTTTAACACGTTAAATTATCTAGTATTTGGTAAAAATTGTTATACAACTTGAACTTGTTTCTCTGTTAGTAAATCTGAATTAGATAGATGAGGTAATTACCTACTTAATAATTAAAATTGTTGTAACGTACATTAATTATATAACTTGTCAAATTTTATCAAAAAACTTACATATTAAAAAAGTTTAAACATAATACCCAACTTATTCGACTTAGGCTTTATTAGACTAATAGCAACGCGGTTACTTAGCTGATATAATATAAACAGCAAAGTTATCTACGGAAACACATTAAAGTTAAATTTTCGAACTAGGATTAATTAAAGTATATTATACGCAAATATATTTTAATAAATGATTTAACTTTGAAAGAAAAAAATATAGTTTAAATTTTCTTAACAAGTCAGTTACTGTTAATATTTTAATGAACTGTGGCTAAGTATTAAAAACTTTTCGATAACTTGAACTAACCCAGCAAACATTGTTTTAGCGGAATTTCAGTATACCTATATAGGCATTTAGAGTGATCATCAGTCACATATTGACCATAAGTGGCAGCCACTATGAATGACAAGCCGATAATTTTTCGACATTTTAATAGTGGCTAGTCATCAACTAGCCGCATTTGGCGGCTACCATAAATGGTCCACTTAGTAACCGATGGGCAAAACTACAGCAGTCCGCTCAAAATGCCAATATTGGTCTCGTGAAATTCCGCTATACAGTGTTTGCTGCGTAAGTTAACATTAATTCGCACTTTCAAATTATGGAAAAATTTGCCTCCTCCCTAATTCTACCATAGGAAGAACTTGCCTCAATCTCCCTAGTTCTACCTATACCAATTACCAACACATTTTATTTTTAATATATTGATTACGTAAAGAGTTCAAATATCCAATTTTGATAAAACACTTTTTTTTAACGTTTTGATCTCTGATAAAAATATTATTTTAAAATCAAAGATATGTCTCTAATTTAGAAAAAAGTAAAACTCTCAAAAATCAAACCTCGTTACCCATCCAAAAAAAATTCGCGATATAAATGTTGCATCATCAATAGGACAGCGTTTCTAAAACAAAAAGAAACAAACAAAAAAAAATTAAAATTATTAAAAGTTAAACAACATTAAAAACACAATTTCAAGGTTGTTTAACTTTAACTATTATTATTATTTTATTACAAAAGAAATAATTTCAAAGAAAAATTTTTGCATCAAAAATACTGAAAGAAATTTTGCTTTAAAAACAACACAGAAATTTGATAAAGACCATGAATATTTTATGTCGTGAGTCATACCAATTTTTAACTGCAGGGTTTTAATTTAAATACTACTGCAAAAAAAAAACAAAATTGCGTGGCGGTGGCTTCTTATTTATGTTGAACATAGCTTAGCCTGGGTCATAAATCAATAAATATTTGTACAAAAGTAATTAAAAAATAATTCACTTTTCTTGTTGAAAAGGTTTGCCCGCAAACTAAAAGTTCAAATTTAACATTAGAAATAAAACTTTAAACATTTTTATGATTTTTTTATTGCAGAACTATTATTTAGTTTTTAGGCATTAAACACGTTATTTTTACATTATAACAATTTTATTTATAAATAAATATAAAATTGCAAACTTAATAGTTTGCAATAACAATTAACAAAAGTACGAAAAGCTACTGTATATATCAAAAAACTGTTGTGTAATATTTAGTATCATTAAAGCGCAATATACAATTCTTATGCTTTGTTAAAAGAAGTTCTCTCTCTTTTTTTTTTTACAGATGTCAAAAGGATCTTGAAGACACTTGATTGCTCATTCTGCAAACTGATTTGTTCAGAATAAGAAAGATTTCCGGTCTCGATGGTTCCTGACTCCAAAACTTTTTTTAAAAACTTTAATGCTTTTTTGTGACGACAAAGCTGCTACATGTTCACCTTCCTTACTCTCTAAACTTATATTTTTCGAAATGTTTTTTGACATAATCTAAGACTCACTACCTCATTATTTACAAAAATGCTGTCCACGTAAGCATATACTTCCCTCTTCACCGATTCGCCTTGATCAATAACAGCACTCATAACAGATTTCATAATCATTGGCGCAACATTCAATACAAAATCAAGACGTGTCAAACAATACTATTTATTTCAAAATACCGATTTTTGGAATTGCCAAAGAAAATACTCAGTTTTTAACTGGGGATGAGAGTTGCGTAAGTCAATGATTGCTGGTTTGTTTTCCATTTTTCTGCATTCCTTCAGTTTTTCAACACCGACTTTTGCATCTCTTGTGTGCGTCTCGATAAAACTATTAGCTTCTCTTCAGTCCAAAACAAGTCTAACTTTATTATCTTTATTTTGCTAAATAACAACTATTATAGGAATTTTCTCTATGAGTTGTCCCAACTTACTTTTGCCTTACTCAATTAACCATTTACAAATCAACCAATTATATAGTTCGTTTTCGTAATCTGTTCTTGCATATTTTGGTATAACGTATTGGGCAACTGTGTTAAATAATTGGTTAAGGCTATCTCCGTCTCTCCATTTCCATTTAATTTTCTATTTAACACCATTAAATATTGCTTCATGATTTGTTTTTTAATGTCAAATTTGTTAAACTTATCTTTGTTTGAGATTGAAATTCCAAACGAGCTAGATCCAAACTTTTCTCATTCCAGATGGGGAATAAAAACTCCCTCTTGCATCTTATTGGAACTTATTGAAGCATTGTATTTACTCCAAAAGGTAAAAAATCCACAGAAATAGTTTCCTCTTGTACTTGGATACCATCAATTTTGATAGCGAAAATCGCTGATCGATAACATTGATGAATTTTTCCCATTAAAAGTTACTACCTTTGGAAGAACCTAAAGTTTATTTTAATTTCATGCCAACAAATTTTGATTTATGATTATTTTTATGGAGGTAGCGAGGTAGCGCATACTCCTTGTTCCTGCCATCGTTTCCATACGTCTTTTAGCATTTTGCAGCCAAGTGTTTTTCATCCCCATATTTAAAACATCAAAAAATATTATAAGTGAACAGTTTTTAAAACATGATTCGACCCTTTGTCGTTGTAACACACCAATTGAACTTATATAGCTTGATTTAGAAACACAGAGCCAACAGCATCATCTATCCATACACGGTTCAAAGTAGTTCTTACTTTGGGTAACAATAACATCAATTAGATCCATAACGGCTTGAATTCTTGATGATACATCCTCGGGTAATCCAACGGCAAATGCCAATCAAACAGACCCTTCTGAAAGCTTAGCTAGGTAAGCCAATTGTTTCAAGTCTGGCAAAAAAAGTAATGCCAGTTTACATTCTGCATTTTAGAAATTACTTTCGTTCGTTCTTCCTGAATTTAACTCATCTTTACATACTTTGATAAAACATTAGAACAATATTACGCGTTGCCTTGATCCAGCATTCCCCATCAACATTTTTTTTATATCATTTCGGTTACAAATGCAACATCACCAACATCCAAAAAACAATGTTTGCCTAACGTTGTATTTTAAGTCGGCATTGCGTAATATTTTACGTTGATTCAACGTTGTATTTTATGTTGGCACAATGTTGTATTTTACGTTGGCACAAAGTTGTATTTTACGTTAGTGAAACATTGTATTTTAAGCTGATTTAATGTTGCACAATGTTATATTTATTATTTTTGGAAACAAATTTATATGTTTTATATTTTAGTATATATATTAACACATTGAATATTATAAATTTAAACGCATTTATAGTTGTATATATGTACTTATACTTACATATTTCAACCATTTAGATAAATTTTCATTGTGGTTTATCCTCCTCCGGCTAGTTGTCATTCAGAGGCCCTATAACAAGGCCCGCAAAGTCAAATTTAGCTCACTAAAAAGCATCATAACCCGCCTCGCAGACGAAGAGTGGTTTTAAGAAAAACGAAGTAATTAGAGCAAAAGTCAGACGAAGTCGAATTAGAAAGATAGAAACAGAAAAAGCGAAGAGATAGAGTAAGAAAAGAGTATATAAGCAAAATATATTTCCATAATAAACTGAAACATTTAAATAAAAAATAATTCTTATAAATTATAAAAATATTTGTACCTGCATTTTCTCAATGCAAACACAACGTTGACCCACTGTTTGTAATCCAACGTTATTTCAATGTAAATCAATCAATATTAAAATTATTTAAGTTGATCCAATGCATTTAATTCAACGTTAACCTCTACACATATAATTAACGTTGGGTCATAAAGATTGAATCAACGTTAGTCCATATACATTGGATCAATATGGGTTATTAAAAGTTACACATTTGGTCAATGTTGATCCATATACATTGGATTAAAGTTAGGTTTAAATCGGAAAAACAAACAACTTTTACGATGTGTTTCCATTCGTTAGACCAATGTAGTTTTACTAACTATTTTTATTTATATCATTATTTACGTTTTCATTAAAATAAATACAATAAAACTAACATTAGATCAACGATGTATTTGTCTCAGAGAAAACAGCCGATTTTTTATGTCAATTTGTATGGGTAACTACGAACAAAAAATGACATAAAAAAACCATTTTATGCTTAATTACAATAAAGAACTATTAAAAAAATGAACATGAGCAGCCGTAGCGCAAAGGCTTGCGCGCTTGTCTTAGAAGCAAGAGGCAATATATATATATATATATATATATATATATATATATATATATATATATATATATATATATATATATATACTATATATATATATATATATATATATATATATATATATATATATATATATATATATATATATATATATATATATATATATATATATATATATATATATACTTTGTATATTTATATATATACTTATTTTTAGGTTTATATTTTCATAAATAGAGTTACAATTTTTTCACATCATAATATAAACAAAATATAAATCGGTTACAAAAGATTTTATATAACCAAATACAGCTAAAATATATCTAGCAAAAAAAAAAACAGAAAAAATAACCCTCAGTTGATTAAGAGGAAAAAAACTAAAATAAAAATAAATGAAAAAAAAAAAATTTTAAATTTAAGAAGCATTTGTTGAATATATTATTAGAGACTTCTTAAGATTATATTGTTATAGGGAACTCGTAGAAGACTGAATAAGTCTTATCATCGAAAACTTTAGAGTAATAAGCAAGATTCGCATAAACATTGTGATTCTTATGCTCTAATATTTTAAATATTATTGTAACAAAGTTTAGTTTTATTTTTATAGTTGTATCTACAATTGTTTTATAATTGTATTCGTTATTAATAATTGTATTATTGGTTGTTTTAGTTCAAATTTTGATTTATCATGTGAACTAGAACAATTCTATGTAACTATCTATATTAAAAACAAGATTATTAGGTTTTGGTTTTAAAGAAATATCAGTGTTAATTCCGAAATACACCTTAATTAAATTAAGGTGTATTTCGGAAATAACTTGTTATACAAATTAATTTCTAATAAATTAGATATATATATATATATATATATATATATATAATATATATATATATATATATACACATATATAAAAATATATATATATATATATATATATATATAAATATATATATATATATATATATATATATATATATATACACATATATAAATATATATATATATATATATATATATATATATATATATATATATATATATATATATGCATATATGTATATATATATATATATATATATATATATATATATATATATATATATATATATATATATATATATATATATATATATATATATAATATATATATATAGTATATATATATATATGTATATATATATATATATATATATATATATATATATTTATATATATATATATATATATATATATATATATATATATATATATATATATATATATATAATATATATATATAAATATATATATATATATATATATATATATATATATATATATATATATATATATATATATATATATATATATATATACATATTTATATATATATGAATCAGTGACAGGCCCAGAGGAAGGGAATTTTAGGGTATGCATCCCCCCCAGAATCTGAAAGTCCTCAAATATCTAAGAAATGGAGGACTTGAAATATAAAAAAAAAAATTAAAAGATTTAACCTTAGGTTTTGATTGAGGATAGTTTGGAAAATACTTCATAAAATCTGGATCCAACCAACTTGTTCTTAGTGTATTAGGTAATTTCTCACCTTTATGGAAGGAAGGAATGCTGTAAAATATTTATATGCTGTAAATATATATATATATATAATTTATGTTATATGCATAAAAATGTATGTATCTTAGCTTTGTGTGTGTCATTTGTGCATGTCATGCGTATGACATTTTTAATAAACTAAGGATTTACCTAAAGAATACTTAACTGATTTTAAATTTTTGCAAGAGACAGTATATATATATATATATATATATATATATATATATATATATATATATATATATATATATATATATATATATATATATATATATATATATATATATATATATATGTATATATATATTTATATATATATATATATATATATATATATATATATATATATATATATATATATATATATATATATATATATATATATATATATATATATATATATATATATATATATATACTGTCTCTTGCAAAAATTTAAAATCAGTTAAGTATTCTTTAGGTAAATCCTTAGTTTATTAAAAATGTCATACGCATGACATCCACAAATGACACACACAAAGCTAAGATACATACATTTTTATGCATATAACATAAATTAATATATATATATATATATATATATATATATATATATATATATATATATATATATATATATATATATATATATATATATATATATATATATATATATATATATATATATATATATATATATATATATATACTGTCTCTTGCAAAAATTTAAAATCAGTTAAGTATTCTTTAGGTAAATCCTTAGTTTATTAAAAATGTCATACGCATGACATCCACAAATGACACACACAAAGCTAAGATACATACATTTTTATGCATATAACATAAATTAATATATATATATATATATATATAATATATATATATATATATATATATATACATATATTTACATAAAATGTTAACAATAAAACAAGTATTATTATACCTGTCTACAGCACCGCTCAATGGAGCAAGCAACGATGCCATAACGTAACCTTGTTCACCAGTTATGCAAGATCTACATAGTATCCAATGATCTAACACAGAACTTAACATGCACAAAATTTCACCTCGTTTAAAATATAAATGTGTCGCATTATCATAAACATTAAATTTTAATTCAGGACCATTTTTTTTATTATATAAGTGATGGTCATAGTTATATAATGCAACAAAGTAGTAAGGATACACTTTTTTTATTGAACGACATCTTTCACTCATTTTTATCTAAGATAGCAACATATTTAATTAAAATTTACAACGCGAAACAAACAAGTAGGGGAGGTAGTTACAAATAACTACAAACCAAATGAAATCGTTTTAAAATATTAATTAAATAACTGAGAAAACAACAAGATAAACAAGATAGTAATAGACAAGGTAAAATACTTTAAAAATGGTTTCAAAATATAATAAACACAAACAGATTTAAACATTGAGCATTTACTACAACATTAAAAAAATTGTTGTAAAATAATTTTTAAAAAGTTACTATAACAGTTATATAAATACTTGCATATTTTATTCGAAAAGATTAAACCATATATATGAACTGTTTTATATTATTATGAATATTTTGTATAATAAAATAAGTTCATTTTTGACTTGTTTTTAATTTAATTGCAAATGGTATTTTAAAACATTAAAAAGAAGCTCTGATTATTTAAAAAAAAAATTGAAACCATTTTTTTTACCTTTTATACACTAGCATGTTTAAACCATGAGTAATTTAAAAGGAGCTTTTTCAGAAAAGCCTCAAGAAACTAATAAAGAGTTTCAAAACTTAGAAGGACTTATTCTTAGACAGGCAGAAAGGTATAGAAGCATAGGTAACGCACAACTTCAATTCATTAATTGTTTATTCTACCGTATTTTGCACTATGCTGCGGGTGATAATGTACAGGAATTGTACTATTTTAGATAAAAGAAAAAACCATGGAAATGAAATAAAAATTAAAATTAAAAACACTAACTATTACATAAAATTTATTGCATTAAGATTAATCCTAAAACTTCAAACAATAACTTACTTTAATAAAACCAAAACTAAAACAAAAACTAATCTTAGTATTTTTTTTCGTAGTTATTTAGGTGCTCCCAGAAGCCTTTGCGGTCTATTCACCGCGGGAGAGTATTAGACGAAGACTAATCTTAGTAATTAACAACGTCCATTATTAAAAATATGTTCCTAAAGAAAACCTGAAGACTTCTAAGTAACTTTAAAAACTCATAAATTACTTAATCATCAAAAAAATAGAAGTTTCGACCCCTCGCAGGCCTAATGATGTAAAATCATATATCTTTTTTTTCAAAACATAGCTCTAGTAGTATCTGTTCCACCATATATACATATATACATTTGTTCTATAATTATTTTTGTCAAAAAATAAAAAACAACATACTGAAACTAAAAATGTAATCCTTTACAAAAATCTTTAAGATTCTCAATATTAATATCAACATATAATGCTTTACAAAAAGTATTTTTTTTTATATATCCGGGTTCACTTCTAAATAAAGCTGAATTCAAAAGAATTGGTATGATAGTACAATTTTATAAATAGTATAATTATAAGATTGTTCATATTCATTGACACACCAAAGAATGTTATTACTAACTGGTTGAAATTTAGCTGTTAATGTTTAATTCCATTTAAGTGACGTAACAAAAAAGTAAGCTAAGCCTAATATAAAAACGTTATTAAATCCTTTCTTAATCATCCATAAATGCAATGTATTTTAGACTTTAAATACCTTGCAGTTTTAATACGTTTAAAATAAATGTTTTAGTAAAAGCAATCCTAGTAAGTAATAATTAAAGAAATTAAAAACAATAGTTCCAGAAAAAACAATAGTTCCAGGAAAAAAAAATCTAAAAATGTATATTCAAAATAAAAAATAAAAAATTATTTAAACGTTTTGAAAAAATAAAACTTTGAGTCAGAAGCTGATAAAACATTTTAAACACTTATGATTTTTTTATCACAAATCGGACAGTGCGTAAAAACGGACGCTTATCAAAAAAAACTAAATATCTTCACTAAAAATAAATATATTTGAAAAGTTTAAAAAAGTTTTCAATTTTTACTGTGTGGAAAAATATAAATTTTTTAAAAAAAGATATTTTTATGATTGCTTTAATAAAATGTTTAAGTTCAAACAAAACCTAACCCTAAAAACCAAACTTTTTTTTCGGAAATTAGGTTTTTATCATAAAAGATTTAAAAGACAATTTAAAAACAAAAGAAGCTAATTTGTTGGAAATTTTCTGCTAATTTCAAAAATAGTTTTAGATTTTCATAATCTTACTCCGTAAAAAAGTTATGGCGGAAATAAGATTTTCTTCAGTTTTCACCTTAAACCGTACACAATAATTTTACCCTAAATTTTTAAACCAATTAAAAGTTCATAGCTTAATCTGATAATTGCTTTTTTACTGTAATTAAATTTTTTTCATTATGTTAAAGTTAATTTATTTTATAATTTTTTCACATTGACTGACTTTTTTTCATTTGGGATTTTAAGTTTTCACACTTTCATGTTAACTAGTTTTGTACTTTTGCACTTGAAGTTAAAATGGAAAAGTACACAAAGTAACCACAAAAGTGCTTTGTTCCTTCAATTTCAAAAATCTATAACTGACTTGAATTTACTAAACTTATAATGGCCAAAAATAATACAAATGAGAAGCCTTACACTGAGGAGACAATTAAAAACGCGTTGAATAAGATTGTAAATGGCGTGTTAAGCTAAAGAGGCGCACACCAAAATCAAGTTCATCCGACCGATATTAAATAAAACTTTAGTAGCTGGTAGTGGTTATACAACAGTGTTAAGCCCTTTTATCAAGTTAACTATAGTTCACCTTCTTCAGATGCTTGGCGATTGGGGATTTAGTAGACAAATAGATCAAGTTCAAAGTTTAGTGAGAGACTATTTAATTGAAAATGATGAAACGTGTTTGTTCAAAAACGGAATGCCTGGTCGCAAATGGTACAAAGGATTTATGAGTTGATGACACTCAGAACTAAGCAAAAGAACAGCTACAAACATTGCATCCTTGAGAGCGGGGTCATGCACACCAGAAATTATTACCCGTTATTTTGATGTTTTGAAAAAACATTTTGATTTAGCAAAAAAAGGTTTTAGTAAAGCAATGCATTTGTGGAATTGTGATGAAATTGGTTTCAATGGTGACAAAGGCAATGCGAAAGCAATTATCAGAAAAGGTGCAAAGCGTCCACTAGTATTGACTGGAAATAACGAAAAAATAAACTATACTGTTCTCAATTGTGTTAACGCTGACTGATTCCTTCTACCGCCTTTTGTTGTTTACAAATCAAAGAATCGACTCTATGATGATTGGATTAAAGGAGGCCCACCAAACATAATTTTCACAACATCACCATCTGGTTGGTTGGAAAGTACACAATTTTCGCAGAAACTCGATGAAATGTTTAATCCTCACATTCAAAAAATTGGTGGTCAACATATTTTACTTTTGGATGACAATGGGGACGAACGTGTCATTAAATGTAGCCTTAAAGTTTAAAGAAAATAATATAAAAATAATTTGCATACCTGCCCATTCATCTCACATTCTGCAGCCTTTAGATGTTGGTGTATTTTACCATGTTAAAGATGTTTGGCGTGATATTTTAAGAAACTTTTATGCTGAAAGTGGTTTTAGCAATTTGTCTAAAAAAATATTTCCAAGTCTGCATGCTCAGTTATATAAAAGCAAGAAAGTTTACACTCGTACTCAAATTTTTGCTGGTTTTGAAAATACTGGGCTTTTTCCATTAAACGAAGACAATATTGACAAATCAAAATTACAAACTTGTCAAACTTTTAATAATGCCTTAATAACATCATTAGCAGTTACAAAATCACCACGCAGCCCAAGTTCTTTGCCTTAAACTGCTCAACAAACACAGACCTTAATTCTGTCTGCAACTCCAACTTCAATTTCAACTTTAAATTTAACTTCTCAAGAAGAATTGGCGACTCGTGTAAAAATTAGTTTTTAAAGAGCTCTCTTAAAGCAATTTCAATTCCAAAACGCTTACAAGCATTCTGCAAAAAAATCCAAAATTGCAAGAACAATGGCTGGTCAAGCTTTTACAGAAGAAGCATGGTTAAATAAGTTAAGAGAAGAAGAAGACGCAAAAACGAACATATGTTGAAATTGCTGTTAAAAGCTGTTAAAACAAACATATGTTGAAATTGCAGCAGCAGATGTTGAAACTCCTGCCAAGAAAGCTAAAGTAAAGTACAAACAATGCAAAAAGTACCCAAAAGTTTTCAAAAATGAAACGCCAGAGATGCAAGTTTTATGAAAAACTTGTGAAAAATCTAGTTGCAGTTCGTGGCTTTATGAACCTTGTCTTCCAAAAAGATATATAAACGGAAAAGAATTCTTTTGCACGAAAAGTTGTAGAACCTAGTTTATAAGTTTTTTTATTTTTTTTCTAAGCTCCAGCTTCCTTATGTTTTTTTATTTATTTTTCTAGTTTTTTCTGCTTGTATTATTATTAAGTGTATATTTTAAAAATAACAATAAAAGTATTGAATTTATCAATCTATGTTTTTTTTATATAATTTGGAACTGTCCGCTTTAAGGGGCATTTACCCGAATATGCGGACACTTTTTAAAAAAATAAAATCTTAGTTCCCAATGAAACTTGAAATTAATTTTTCTTTTTTACACTACAGAATTGCTTTAATAATAAATTTTATTCCAGAAAAAAAAATCCTGCAGATTCTCAATATTGAAAAAGTTATTTAGCTTTTTGTGAAGAGTGTTCGGTTTGCAGTACTTTTACTCTAATCATTTAAAAAACAATAGAGTAAAAGCACCGAGGGTAAAAATACCGGGGTTAAGTTTTATTGATTGGACGAAACAACTAACGTTTAAATTTTTTAAGTAAATATGTTATAAAATAAACGGATCGTTTAGATATTGAAACAACTAAAAGAAATGTAATGTACGTAAAAACATGGGGATAGTAATATGTATTAACTAAAAAGAAAACATTCACTCCAAACGGTATGGTCTATGAATATCAAACAACTTTTTTTTTTGATGAATATCAAACAATCAATTTTTATGTTAAACATTGAACAGCATATAAATTATAAAAGTCAAGAAAAAAACATAAAGTTTCAATAATAATGATTAGTGTTGCAAAAATATTTTACTACATGACTACATTTATATGTCTT